TCTATCTATCTATCTATCTATGTTTGTTTCTATCTATCTATCTATCTATCTATCTATCTATCTATCTATCTATCTATCTATCTATCTATCTATGTTTGTATCTATGTTTGTTTCTATCTATCTATCTATCTATCTATCTATCTATCTATCTATCTATCTATCTATCTATCTATCTATCTATCTATCTATGTTTGTTTCTATCTATCTATCTATCTATCTATCTATCTATCTATCTATCTATCTATCTATCTATCTATCTATCCATCTATCTATCCATCTATCTATCTATTATTTCCTGTCTCCAGCTAGTGGATCAGTTTCAGGTCCTGGTTGCGGCCAACAAAGCTTTCCACCTGCAGACCGTTGGGAAACTGAAGACCAGGTCCCTGAACTCTGAGATCATCTTCAACCTGTCTCCCACCAACAACGTGAGTGGCTCCCCGGGGGGTTTGAGGTGTCGGGGGGGTCAGACCAGCATACCCATAGTTAATATGCATGCGCTACCTTTAGCAGAAATCTAAGAGATTAACATTGACGAAGTTTACTAGACTACTTTATTTATGCGTGATATGATAAACAAAAGGTTGTAGTTTAAGGTAAACACACAAACTTACGAGAAAACCACACCGAAAGTCAAGTACTTTTGTTTACAAATTAACTTAGAAATGCTATTTCTAACAATTTCCTATTTAAAGCATGTGCAGTCCCTGGAAAATTAGAATATATAAGTAAATAAAATACGTGGCAAGATTGTACATCAATTTGATCATCGATTGAACTGTTCCTTTAATCCCAACATTGAACAAGATTATCATTACTTTTTTAATGTGCTAACTACAACCTTGCTGGTAGTAAGCATCATGCTCACGTTTGATTCACTTCAATTAATCTGTATCCAAGATGACGTAATGTCCAAATCAAATCAACGATTGGCTGGGCGGGAGGTGTGTTTTGTACGGGACGTTTTGTAGATGGCTGCAGGTACAGCTAGACCCTTCTGTAAATACACTTTAAACTACCTCAACAGGCGTGTATCCCTTTAGTTTTGTAAAAAAAAACACTGTAAACTACCTCAACGCGCAAGTATCCCTTTAGTTTTGTATGAAAAATACACTGTAAACTACCTCAACAGGCGTGTATCCCTTTTGTTGCGTACAAAAAAATAATTGAATTACTTATTTTTGGGTGTTTTTCGAAAGGTATGGCGATCTGTCGGCTTCTCCAAGTGTTCGCTACTTTTCATCTTGGATACAGATTAATTGATGCTAAATGTTGCGCATGCATATTAGAATCAGAATCAGAATAAGGTTTATTGCCAAGTAGGTTTTTAGACTTACAAGGAATTTGCCTTGGTGTTTGGTGCACAACACTTCTATGAGAAGCAAGAAATAAAATGTAGGAATAAAAATATAGGACAGATAAAGAGTATGGGTATGCTGGTCTGACGGGGCATGCGAAAATCTGACGTCATGCGCATGTGTATTGTTTGTGTTTGTGTTTATGTTTATGTTTGTGCATTTGGCAGACGCTTTTATCCAAAGCGACTTACAGAGTAGACCCAATATTCCATTTCTCATCACTATGACAATAAGCTATCCAGAGGAGAAACACTGATCAGAGTCAGTGGTGAGATCAGAATCAGAATCAGAATCAGAATAAGGTTTATTGCCAAGTAGGTTTTTCACCTACAAGGAATTTGATTTGGTGTTAGGTGCACAACACTTCTATGAGAAACAAGAAAGGCCATACAATGTAGAAATAAAAATATAAAAATATAGAATAAAATAAAATAAATAATAATAATAAATAAAAAAATAAAATATTGAATGTCCAACGACAGACTAGAAAATGTTGAAAGCATTGGGTAAATTAGTGAGGTAGAGGGGGGTGAGAGAAGAATAGGTGGGGGTCACTGGCCTCGTTGATGAGGCCAGGGACCCAGTAGAGATAGAGGTAGAGGGGACCACAGAAGGAGTCCCCTCTATGGGCTATTGACCCAGGTATGCTGACCTGACTGAACACCGTTTCTCTGCTCAGATTTCTGAAGCTTTCCGGAGGTTCGGCGCCTCGGAGGGCGACGGCGCCGTGCTCGTGGTCGTCGTGCACGACAAAGACCAGGTCCAGGTCCCGTCGGAGATCCGGGCCCGGGTCGACGGGAGGCAGGTCCCCGTGGAGGAGATCTCCTCCCTGTCCGACCCCGCCGCCATCAGAAAGGTCTGAGACCACTCCCACACGTCCATTCATTGAGACCCGGCCCGTTCATTTATGTCCATTATAGTGGACATTTTGTCCACCTGTACCCCCCTAAGTATCTGGAGTTACCCTATCAGCCCTATAGTGTTCTGTAGAGGACATCCTGGGCTTTCCAGTGATGTGCCATGTGATAGCTTTGCATGCTGGGAACTTTACTTTTTTCCTAAGAGTTCTTAGTTAAATATCCCTTTCAAGACATCTTCTTTTTTGTTATTTAATTATCTAAAGCCTGTTCTATTTTCCCATGCAAATCGTCCTGTTGTCCTCCACAGTGGACATGCTATGAAATTCAAATTAAAAATGTTTTTTTTTTTAAATTAAATTGCAATGTTCTTTTTTAGGTCCAAATACATGGAAAATCACAACAAAAAAGAAATTTGAAGACACTGTTTTTCTTTGGGTCTCAGGATGTAAAAGGAGATATTATACCCTATTTCAACAAGTTAAGCTAGCTCCCTGGTGTCTTAACCCTTTAAAGCCTGATCCAAGAATAAAACAAAGCAGAAAATT